AAAAAAAAAAAAATTAGCTTCCTTGGAATTCTTTGATTATATTTAATACTTTTTACTGATTTACTAAATACCTTTAACAAAAATAAATTAAATACCAGAACCACTGACTCACATTGATCTTCATATTCTAACCCAGAGATGCAGCCAATGGGGCTGGAAAGCATGGAAGAGTGCGCTAACCATCCCGGAACTATCCATTCTGAGGAGTACAGAGCAGAATAGATGATTAAAGAAATGAGACATTTCTTCATCTATCCTTGCTTATTATCATCTTTTACTTAGTCATTCATTTAAGGCAATCATTATTTGAAGTATATTTATATTATCCTTTCTTAAAATAAACCTCTTTGAATTTGCCACAGACCCAAAATTAAAACAATGTCTATAATTTATACTGACTATATCATCCTTAGCCAAAAAGAACTCTTCTGGATTTCAGTATTTTCAATATACATAACAGACTTTCTTGCCTTGCCACAAATTTTTATAATTAGACAAGGCTTCACATATTTTATTTTGATTTATTTATATGTCTTTGTTGATTCATTCATTGATCCAATCATAATAATAGAATAAAAATGAATAAATACAAGGACCATATTCCTTTTCTGATGGACCTGAGAGTTCCATATATGTATTCATCATATTTCACTCATAATGTCACGCAACCAGTAGTCATCACTGATCCAGGATTAAGTCCTCCTTTTCTCCATTCATTTCTACATTGTCTACTGCTTTAATCACTAATTCACTAATAATAGTTTAAAACCCTAGGATTCACAAAGTCCAAAAATAGGTTTGACATTCCTAATCTGCACATAGAATTATCTCACATCAAAGTATCTTCTTCATTAATTATCTTGTTTTTACACATAAATTAGTCAATGTAATACTTTTTTGTCATTGGTAACAGTTGGCATTATGCGATGCAATGAAACAAGCCATCTAAACCAAGACAAGAATGTTGACTATTACTCACATTGGTCCAACACAGAGCTGCCAACCACAGGGCTGGTGGCCATGGAAGAATGAATAAGTCACCTTGAAATCATTCATTCTAAGGAGTACAGAGCACAGAAAATAATTTTGAAAATTAGATACTCCTCTACTGATCCTTTCTTATTCAGACTTTTTTGTGTTGGACCTCAGAGTTCCAGACATTTATTATTCATCATCCACAACTCATACGCCGGCAGATATCATCATTGGTCCAGCAAAGGCTCCTTCCTCTTCATTCATTTCTACATTGTTTATTAATTCATTAATTCACTGATAATATTTTTTAAAGCCTATGTATGCAAAATTATGCTTAGAGTAATATAACTTTTATTAATCATCCTGTTTCTCATCTATGCATCTCAATTAATGAGTGGAACGATTCATATTAATCCCAAAGTACAATGTTAACATTTGCCTTATGTGATTATATTATTTTTAATAATGTAGTGAGTACCCTTAAACAAAGCACCCAAACTATTATTACTCACATTGATCTCCAGCTTCTTATTACAGATGCAACCATAGTGTTCACAACCAGGGCAGATTCTCTAATCAGCTCAGGCAGGTCCATTGTGAGGAAAATAGGACAGGGAAGACAAATAAACAACAACAACAAATCTGAGACAATATCTCTATATATCCTTAGTTTTCACCTTTTAGTTAGTCATTTACGCAACCATTAATTTCAAGTATATATCAAAATTGGCACACCCCAGAACAGGTAAACTATCTAAAATTCACACTGTCTATATCATCCTTAGCCAAGGAGGTACCTTGGCTGAAATTTAATTCAAATTGGACTTCAGTGATTTCATAATAAAACTTTCTTGGTTCACTACATATTTTTAATGAATACTATTTAATTAATTTATTTACTTCTTTATTGATTCTTCCAATGATCTAGTTACAAAGGAATTAAAATATGATTGCAAAGTTCAAGATAAAAAATCTTGGGCCATCCATGATGGTTCACATCTATAATCCTAGCACTCTGGAAGCCCAAGGCAGGTGGATTGCTTGAACTCAGGAGTTGGAGACCACTCTGAGCAAGAGCAAGATCCTGTCTCTACCAAAAATAGACAAAAGAGCCAGGCATTGTGGCAGGCACCTGTATGTAATCCCCACAAGAGGCTGAGGCCAGAGGATTGCATGGGCCCAGGAGTTTGAGGTTGCTGGGAGCTATGATGCCATGCATGGCATCATATCAAACAACAACAAAAAAATCTTATATATTCATAACCTGTGTCTAGAGGATAGCTTCTACCAAGAAAATGGACTACTTGTCTTTCATGTTGGGCATCCGTCCAGAATTGCTTCGCTCATTGTATATGGCTCATATGGCAACAGCCATTATCAATCCATGTTTTACCCTTTAATATTCGTCCATCTCTACATTTGTTATGAATAAATCATTAATTCATGTGTACGAATAAAATAATACAATTCAAAAAAAACCCTACAACATGATGCCTAACATCTCCAATATCTGTCCACATTAGACTATTCCTGTGTTCATTAATCAACCCCTATGTGTCACATCAACAATTAATAAACATAATATTCTACATCATATTTATCATTGGGCCATGGTTAACTTCTGACTAATTTGAATTTTTTAATAATATTATGACTACCTAAAATATAAATTACCCAAAAGAAGACAAGAAATGTGGCTATTACTAACTTTGTTTTCTTTCCAAACACAACAGCAATATAAGTCTCCATCATAGCAGAATGCTTAAATCCACTTGGTGCATCCATTCTAAAGAGTACAAAGCAGAAAGATGATAAAAACATTGAGACATCCTCTCATTGACCGATATATCATATGATTAATCTGCATTGTCATTTTGGCTTTTATTAACTTATGGTAATATTTATAGTCTCCTAAATAAAATAGACTTCAACTTTGAAACTGAGAGTAATAACTATTATCTATCACAGTCTATATTATTCTAGTTCAAGACATAATACATTTTTATCCATATTATCTATTCCAATTTATATTAAAATCCATCTTCCTTAAAACATATTTTATTAAAAAACAATGTTTGACTCTATCTTTATTCATTTATATATTCATTTATTTTCCCTTCCCTTCATTCTTTCATAGTATAGTTTTTAAATTTATGAGCACAAGACCCTTTTATATCCTGACATCTGACCAGGACCCCTTCAAAAAGAGGTAAGGGATTAAGACCTTGTTTTTCTTGGACCTCAGACTTCCAGACACAGTATTCACAGTGCAAGACTCATACTCCACCTATCATCATCATTGGTCCAAGGAAGGTCTACTTTCTACCTTACCATCTGTGTTTATTCCTAATTATCTATATAATCATTTTCACAGAGACCAAATTTCTCTCATTAAATGAGTTAAGCATACTATATATGCATTATGTGAAAAATGCTTCATATCGACCTGATATTTAACATTGACAGGTATCCTTTTTTAAATTATATTTACTAATACTTAATAAAACAGAATATATCTGTTTTTAAAAATGATCAATGTAATGCAAGAACATTGACACCTACCCACATGGCTTGTCAGACTCCTAACACAGATGCAAACATAGAGTTTGTGACCATGGAGGAATGCTTGAATCAACTCCAGGGCATCCATTCTGAAGATTACAGAGCAGAGCAAAGACATTAAAAGGTTGTAATATTATTACTATTGTTTCTTGAATACCTCCTTTTACTTAGTTATATATAATTAGTAACTTGATTAATGTTTATTTTCTACTATGTAAACTAACAATATCAATCTTGCTATTGAACTAGAATATGAACATTCATATTTACCTAAGTATGTCAACAGCATACTTAGCCAAAAAGATAACAATTACTTATATACACTATTTATTTCTCTGTGGACTTCAGAATTTTCTATATTTACCAATAGTATTTCTTGCCTCACCACCTATTTTTATAATTGGACAATGCTTCAAACAGTCATTTTTATTTGTATGTTTGTCTATTGATTCTTTTATTGATGCAATTAAAAGAATAAAATAAAAGTGCATGAAAAGAAAGACCAGATTTCTTTTTTGTTGAACCTCAGAGTTCCAGACACATATTATTCATCATCCAAGACTCATATGCCTGCAATTCTCATCATTGGTCCAAGAAAGGCTTACTTTATTTTCATGCAATTTTACTTTATTTTATTAATCCACTAATACTCATAATTCACATAATTAAATTATAGCATAAATAATTGCTTGTAGATATTTATATATAAAATCATTCTCACATTATTCATATATATATCTTTAAATAATTAGTATCAGTTTTTCACATATTTATTAATCCAAGAGATGCTTTATGTAATACTTCCACATTTGTTACCGAACTACATTTGGCCCTATTTGACTATATTTTATATTTTGTTAATAATATAGTAAATACCCTTAAACAAACCACCCAAACCACACTACAACTTTGACTATTACATCAGTCTGTTCAGTAACAATGATAAACAAGTCTTGATCAAGGCAAAATTCTTAAATTAGATCGATGCATCCATTCTGAAAAGTACAAAACATAGAAAAGATTAAAAACACTGAGACATTTTCTCCATTAATCCACATATTCCACCATTCATTGGCATTATCCTGTTGGCTGTTATTAAATTATGATAACTTTTTCTTAATAAAATAAACTACTTCAAAGTTAAAACTGATTGAGAGCAATAACTATCAGAGCCTATGTCACACTGTCTAAGACATAAGCACATTCACTCATATATTATCCATTCTAATTTATATTAATATTTATTTTCCTTAATATACATTATAAAGTATTAAACAATGATTTACCCTATTGATCTCTATTTATTTATACATTTTTTATCCAGTCCTTGATTTTTTATAACAATATTTTCTAAATTCATGAACTCAAAAAGACTCAGTTATTGGCATCTGTTCATAGGATCCCTTTGAAAAGGAGGAATGAGCTAGATCCCACTTTTGTTGGACCTCAAAGTTCCGGATACACAGTACATAACTCATTCCACTGGCTGTCACCATTAGTTCAGGATAGGCCCACTGTCTCTATTACCATCTACATTTATTAATTCACTAACAATAAGATTTTTGAATATCCTTAACATCCATCTATATAATAATTTCTACAAAGACTTAAATTTCTTTCATTAACTAAGCTCCATATTTCATACATGGGTTAATTAATCTAATGTTTCATATTAATCAGTGGACATGTTTCATCTTCTTTGATTATATTTAATACTTTTTAAGACTAAAGCAAATAATTTCTAGAAAAATAGTTAAAGCAAGAACTATTACTACTACTTACACGACTCATTATGCTCCTAACATGTAGATGCAACCATAGAGTTTGTGACCATAGAAGAGTGAGTAAATCATCTTGAAAGCATCCATTCTGAGGATTACAGAACACAGCAGATCATTAAAAAAAAATTGAGACATTCCTTCTTGATCTTGGCTTATTATTTTTTCTTTAGTCATCTGAGAAGTCATTATTTGGAAGGCACATTTTATTTTCATTAAGAAAACAAACAACTTAGAATTTTCCTTGACCCAGATGTTCACTGTTTTCCTTTAATTACACTGTATCATCCGTAATCAAAGAATTTACAATAATGTAATATTTAATTCTCTTGGGGCTTAAACATAATCAATATGTAATAATACATCTTATCTCACCACTTTGCCCCCTTAAGAAAATGTACATATATGTATATAAATTATTTCATTGATCTAATTATAATAATAGCATGAAGTGAATGAATGTAAAAAGCAAAACCCAACACATAATATCATTTGAAACAGAGGGAATGGGCCATATTCCATTTGTTACGGACCTCAGAGTTCCAGATACGTATTCATCATATAAAACTCATACGCCACCGGTAGTCATCATTGATCCGATATTAATCATCCCTTTTTACATTCATTCTACATTTTTATTGATTAAATCATTTATTCATTATTTATAATTTTCAGTCCTATGATTCACAAAATCCCCAAGAATAAATTTCATATACCTAGTCTATATGTAAAATTACTACATTAATATATGTTTCACTCATTATCCTCAGTTTATTATAGAAGCATTATAAATACAATCTTCACATAACTCCCATATTTAGGAAAGAAGAGAGAACACTGCCCTTCTTTGACTATATTTCACACTTCTTAATAATACACTGTGTATTATTAAGGACTTTGACTATTACATTGGTGTGCATCTTCCTTCTTAGGCATGATATAAACAGCACATGACCATGGAAGAATCCTCAAATCAGAACAAGTACAACCATTCTGAGAAACAAACAACACAGAAGACAGTAACAACTTTGAGACACTATTACCACTAATCCTTGCTTTTCACCTTTCATTTCATTAGTCATTTAGGCTATCATTATTTAATATATTTTTATTTCATTTTCCCCTAAGAAAATGAACAATTTCAACCTTGCCACTGACCCAAAACATGAAGATTATCTATAATTATACTGTCTTCATCATCATTAGCCAAAGAGGTGACAAACATGTATCACTTATTTCTCTTTGAACTTCATATTTTCAACATACATTAAGTGTTTCCTCCCTTGCCACATTTTTATAATTGGACAGTGCTTCAATTTATTCATGTTTATTGGTTTACATATTTGTTTAATGATTCTCACACTGCCCAACTATGAAAATATGTGATCACAAAGACCAAAAACAAATAAATACTGTATTTCTAACACTTACATATCACCTATATACAGGATCATTTCAAACATAGAGAACCAGCTTGATTTCTTTTGTGACGGACCTCAGAGTTCTAGACACATATTCATCATAATGACTCATAAGCCACCAGCAGTCATTATCAATCCAGTATTGATCATCTTTTTCTACCATTCATTTCCACCTTATCTATTAACTGATTAACTCACTAATAAGTCACTATGAATTGAAAACCAACAAAGTAACCTTGATATTAAGTATCCTTCTGACATCAATATTATCTATTTTATTATTATCCTCAGTTTTCATATCATATGATAATTCATATAATTCCCAAATCTACCATTGGGATAATGGTGGCCATCTTAAATTTTATTAAAGATATTTATAATACATGAAGTACTCTTCAACAAACCACCCAAATGAAGAAAAGGTCTTTACTACTCACATTAGTCTACATCCTCCTTTCGAAGCACAGTGTAGGGGACCTGACCATGGAGGAATCCTTAAAACAGCACAAGTACGTCCATTCTGAGGAGTATAGAGTAGTGGAAATGATAACAAAATTGAGCTGTTCTCAGTATTGATCCTTGCTTTTCACTAATCATTAGTCATGTAGCCAATCATTATTGGTATTTATTTCATTTTCTCATTGAACCATTTTAAACACTGATCCAGAAATTAAAAATTATCTATAATTTAAACTGTCTATATCACTATTATCCAAAGAGGTAATGGGCATATGTCATTTATTTCTCTTTGGACTTCACTGTTTTGTTTTTGGACTTCAATGTATATTAATAGTATTTTATACCTCACTACATATTTTTATAATTTGACTGTGCTTCACCCATTATATCTTTATTCATTTATATATTTATTTATTGATTTTTGCATTTGTCCAATTACAAAAACAGAATAAAAATATGTAACCACAAGGCAAAATAAATACATTCTACACTTCTGAAATCTATCCATAACATCACTTAAAACAGAAACAATAGGCCAGCTGTCTTCTGTGATGGACCTCAGACATCAGACGTATTCATCGTATGTGACTCATACGCCACCAGTAGTCATCATAAATCCAAAGTTGGTATTCTTTTTCTTCATTCATTTCTACATTGTCTGTTGATTAATCTGTTAATTCACTTAAATTTTAAACCCTATTATTCAAAAAAACCCTAAGCACAGCCTTGAAATTTCCATTCCATATATAGAATCATCTCACATCAATGTATCTCCTTTATTATCTTTAGTTTTTCATACAACTATTAATTCATAGAGTGCTTTATACAAATTCTGTATTTGTCACTTGGCTTTGATTATAATTCTTTATTTTCAATGATACAGTGAACACCCTTAAGCAAACCACCCAAAGTAAAATAAGAACTTTGATTGTTATTCACAGTGGTCTCCATGCTCCTAATGCATAGAGGAAAACCATAGACTGGAGTATGTGACCATTACTCATCTCTGAATAGCAGAAAGCCTCCCCCTTAAGGAATACAGAACAGAATAAGTTATAAAAGACTGATACATTCTCTTCATTGACCATTGCTTTCTACTTTCCATTTACTAAGTCATTTCAATATTTAACAATTGATGCTGTTACTTGTCTCCCAGCCTTTAAAATAAAGGATAACATAATACTCACCAGTGATCCTATATCAGTGTCCATATGATAGTTTTCCAAAGGGTAACATTCTGAATCCATTTGTTTACTTATGAACATTAGTGCTTCCAGATTTTTATAATTAGGCAATACTTTACTCTCTTCATCTTTTGTATGCAATTATAGAAATTTTATCATTGATTTTTTTTTGTAATACAATCAAAATGCATGAACCATAAAAGTTTCAGAACATGATCTTTGTGTATATGTTCATAAGTAAAACAAATGGATTCAGAATGTTACCCTTTGAAAAACTATCATATGGACACTGATAAATAGGATCACTGGTGGGTATTATGTTATCCTTTATTTTAAAGGATAGGAGACAAGTAACAGCACCAATTGTTAAATATTGAAATGACTTAGTAAATGGAAAGTGGAAAGCAATGGTCAATGAAGAGAATGTGTCAGTCTTTTATAACCTGTTCTGTTCTGTATACATAATGTTCTATAGGATTACTTTAAACAAAGACAATACACTATAGATCTTTTTCTATATAGTATCTCAAAGTTTCAGAAATTTATTCTTTATCTATCCATGATTTAATATGCAGCCAATTGTCATTATTAGGCTAAGATTTGCCATCTTTTTCTGCCTTCATTTTAACATTTATTAACTTTTGTTGTCCAATTGAATAAAAATAATAAAATAAATTTACATAAATCACAAAAGCCATAGGACAAAATGCTTAAGTATCAATAACTGTAAATAGACTAATTCTCTTTAGCACCTGTATCTTCCATTAATTAGTCTCAGTGTGATATATATTCACTAATAAACATATAGTTCCTGTCAATCCCATAGTGAGATATCCATGACTCCTTTCACTGTAATCCATACATTTTTTTTTAAATAATACAATGAATATTCTTAAATAAGCCATTCACATCAAGACAAGTGCTCAGACTGTTATTCACACTGCTTCCTATGCTCATAGCTCAAAGTTCACGGCCACAACAGAATTCTTAAATCAGCTAGATGCATTCATTCTAAGTAGTACAAGCAATGCGAATAATAAAATATTGAGACACTATTTCCATTAATACACACAATTACCATTTTATTTTCTCAGTCATTTAAACATTTATTATTTGTGGTATAAAATTTTTCCCTATCAAGTAAACAACCACTTGAACTCATCACTGACTCAAAGCAAGAACCTATTACCTATCCTTACCTTTCCTTCTTATCCTTACCAAAAAATGTAACCCCTCTGATCCACATATTCCTTAATAAACTCCAGTGGCTTTACAATATATTAACAGTAATTCTTGCCTCACCACATAATTTCATAATTGGGTATGCTTCAACTTTTTCACTTTTATACATTAATGTATTTTTTCATTCTTTCATTTATTAACTAATAATAAAATCCAAATCCATGACACACATAAGACTGAGAAAATGATCCTTGAAAATTTATCCGCAGGCTCATTTCCACAAATGTAAACACATCCTGTTTGTAATGGATCTCAGTAAGTCACAGGTCTTTTGATCATAAAAAGCAATTCAAAATGCATTTCATTCACATCACTGGTCCTTCCTTGGCCTTTTTTCATATAATTCACATAATTTGCATATCACTTCTATATATAACGTGAATCCACCACTGTAACTAAAATGCTGGCAAATACTTAACATCGCCTATGTGCCCCTTCATCACAATAAAAGCAATTTACATCTTAACCACTTAAAGAATTATTAGAGAAAACCCTACAATAGAATTTTAAAGAGCTATAATGATCAGTGACAGAGACTTGATATTTTTTAAAATTATAATGAGTAACACTCAATCTAATTAATCATAAACTGTGGTTCCTCATCATTACTAAAGACTTGTCCTTGTTTGGTTGCATTCATATGTGTAATTATTTATTCATTTCAAATATGTACAGTGAAAACCCATGAAAACCCACTTGAAGAACAAAAAGAATGACTATTTCATTGGTCTCTAGGCACCTAAACGGAGGTAATCAAGAGTACTTGGTCTTTTCAGAATGCTTAAATCACCTTAAGTCTATCCATTTTGTGTAATATAACAATTATGATAAAAGAATAAGACCTTTTCTCCATTAAACTATGCTGTTCCCTTTTTATTTAGTTAAGACATTTAAGTATTTATTAATTAATGTATTTATTACATTCTTTTTCTTATAAAACCTAAAACTCAACACTGACCAAGAACAAGGGCATTAATTACTACATACATATGACATATCAGTGATTAGGAACTATTCGAAATTAACTGATTGGAAATTCAGACTCTCAGACTCCATACACCAAGCAAACTGAATCAGAAATGCTAGCAGCACAGCTGCAATCTGTATTATAAACAGCCCTCCTTGCAATTCCAAGTCTCATGTTTGAGAACCACTGCTCTATATCACTCTAAACTAAAGAGGTAAACTTAGAAAGAGTTTAAGAAACCTTAATCTATTGGTTTCTTAATATACTGCAGTGTTTCAAAATTATATGATCAAAAATTTGTTTGGCCAGGCATGGTGGTTCTCACCTATAATCCTAGCCCCCTGGGAGGCCGAGACAGGCAGGATTACTCAGCTCCAGAGACCAGCCTGAGCAAGAGCAGGACCCTGTCTCTACTAAAAAAAGGAAAGAAAAGAAAAAGAAAGAAAGGAAATGGGCATTCAGGAATCTAAGGACAGAGGATCGCTCAAACCACAGCACTCTACCAAGGGAGAATGAATGAAATTCTGTCTCAAAAAAACAATAATAATAATTTAATTAAATAAATAAATAATTCTCTCTGATAGCTTTTGTTCTTAATCTAGTTTGCTCTCTTCATCTTTATTTATGTGTGTATTTTTTTTACTCATTCTTTCATTTATGCCCTTAGAATAACCCAATAATCACGATCCACCAAAATTCCATAATTAGATCCTTGAAAATTACTGAAATCTACTGAAAAATAACACAAGTCCCCAACACCCACAAAAACTCCCTAATTGGATTCCTTGAAAATTACTGAAATCTAATCGTATTTAACAAATTTATCTATAACCATCCCATTATATTTATGTTTATTAACTCACTGATAATAAGATAAATATGCATGAATAGCCACCAATGACAACTTTTTTAGTACTCCTAATATCTCTGTCAATGGGCTCATTTCCAAGAGAGATAATAGATTCTCTTTGAAATGAACTATAAAAATGGTATGAGAATACAATTATACACCTTATTCCAGGTGTATAATTTGACTTTATTCATATTGTTGGCCCATGCTTGATCTTTTTTGTTTAAATTATACATTCTATTAAGATGTAAAAATGAACTAGAAGAATGTACTACTCAACACTATGATACTGGCAATCATTTATTTCACAAGTTCCTTCCTCATAAAGTTAACACACTAGACATACAATATAGGAAACTATAAAGTGACTAAAATGGCATTAATCTGTCTTTTCAACATCATCCACAATTGTAACATTAAATATAATGCTTTAATTCATAACTGATCCTCACCTTTTGTCTCTTTCACTTTATTCTTTAACCATGTTGTACAGTATTATGAACAGCAATGAACAAACCCCCCAACCAAAATCTAGTATGTTCACTATGTCTTACATAAGTCCACACACTCCTTATCCACTGGCTAATAGTTAATACTTCCTATTCTGAGGCTAACTCTCCTATTCTCCTATTATTCATTAAATTATTTCAATTATTAACTTACATAAAATAGTGAATATTCTTAAGCTATCACCTGCATTAAGGAAAACAATTGACCATTAATTACACAAATGACCTGAATCCCTCCACCAAAACATGTCTCAGTATTCTCTACAAGTAAACATCACCTTGCAGAATTGGATGCATGTCACTCCTAGTTTCATGGTACCATTATGAGTAGTCAGTTCTTGACCTTAATTTATTGATCTATCCATTTTAGTATGAATATATGAATTAATAATTTATGAACAAATGAATTAATTTCTCTATCCATCTTATCCATTTTAAATAAACTGGACAAAGTTTACATTCTTAGTAATCTAGAACAGAAATTCATTCTATTATATATGCCTGTGTGATCTTAATAAAACTATTAAAATCCAAGAATTTATTTCTAAACAGAGGCATAGTCAGTTCACGATAACATTTTGCTTCATGTATTCATACATTTGTTTAGTTATTCATGTACTAATTTACTAATGAAAATATCATCAATAGCCATGAAATGCAGTAAGATCACTGATATTCCTAATATATGTATATAGGCTCAATTCCAACACAGAGAATAAATTTTTAATGCTGGATCTCACAACTGCAGACAAGAGTATTCATCATCTATAACTCACACGTACATCACCAGTTTTCATCATCTAACCAGATTTGACACTCTTTTTGTTCATTCTTGACTTCATTTGTTGATTGGTTAATACAGCAATCCACTAATAAGAATAAGTAAATACCAAAGTGTCACAAAAACCCAAGAATAAGATTCTTTAATATCTTTAACATCTGTCTATAAAACTATTCCCCCCAAAACTAGGCATCTTTGATTAATTTACCTCCATGTTTCATATATGAATTAATCTATCAACACAACAGAGTATATCAATCTTATTCTTAAGAATGGGCCATATACGGGATCTCACCTAATGTGCACATTGTTGAGGTTGTATAACACACCCCTTGGGTGAGGGATTCTTCTACAAATGGAATTTTACCCTGGAAGTGAGAACAATGTAACAATGTAACCTAAAAATTGTTCCCGCATATTAATTTGAATAAAGGTATAAAAAAATGGGCCATATAGCCTTAACTGATTATATTCTAAGCTTCACAATTATATGGTGATAATTTCTAAAAAACATAGTTAAACCAAGACAAGTAAATTGCCTATTATATAAGTCTCCATGTACCTATACATAGAGGCAACCTTCAAGCTTGTGATTATGAAAGAACACTCAAATTCACACTAGTGGACATTCAAAGAAGTACAAAGCAGAGCAGCTGATTTTAAAACCTGAGACCTCCTCTCCACCTATCTTTGCTTTCTTTATTCCATTTATCCAATCATTAAGTATTTATTAATTTTTCCTAACATGTATAATTTTTCTTTTTTTTTTTT